AAAGTTACAGCCCACATATACTGTGGTTAATATTATAATTCAATACAATCGTATACGAGATACCTTGACTTTCCTTTAGTTGAAAAAATAAGGAATTTTTATTAGACCAAAGACCCAGAATTTACAGCAGTCGTGTCGGCTGATGCACGATCAACGGCTCGTGACGTTTTCCTCCGTGTGTTGGAACACGTACGGTTTTATCTCATGGCTTCTGGCATTCACGAATTGGGGACTGAATTTGACCACTAACTGCCATAGCTATCTCGAATGTGCCGTTTGTTTGTCTGCCATTGAGTGGAATATTTTAAATAGGAAGGAACTAAAGTATGTTCACAATCGGAGATTGGCAATATAATAATGTAAAGTTATAGTTGGAAAGTTAATACATTTTAAATATTTAATAGTTGACCGTTGCATTATAAAGGAAGGAGATGGTCCGGGGTTGCGGTCGAAACGTTGGCTTTCAATAAAATAGTTTTACCACTATTTAGCCTTTTTATGACCGCAACCCCGGACCATCTCCTTCCTTTAATACATTTTAGTTATGAAATTATACATTTTAGAATGAGGCATACATTTTATGATCCAGCTAAGAGACTGGTTTAGAAGACGAAGGGATTTCATCTCCTCGAAATGATATTTTATTTTTAATTTACTTCAGGAAATCAATGCATGTCCATGAAATACACATGTATCGCTCAATTTGCAATGGAGTTGTGAAGAATAATTATTTTATATACTGTAATATTCAGCAATTTTCCTTTTGAAATTTCTAGCTGTCTTTTTACAACAAATCTTTAAACAATTTAGAACTTAGTCGCATATTAAAATTCTAAGAAAAATGACAAAAAGGACTCCTCCTCACTATCAAACCGAGTAGAATAAAAATTAAGATTGTGAATTGCGCCCCTCCCCCTCTAAAGTTAAATCGGCTAAGGGCCTCTCCATGAGAGGGGATGATTGATTAGGCTTTTTAATTTATACATTACCTGAGAGGGTAGGTATTACTTTGGTTATTAGGTATTAATTCAATTAAACTCCTTAACGATTCGTTATACCTATAGCAGGTTCTAATCTTGTGGTATAGTCATAAGATAAGAAGAACTTGGTGAAATTCAAGATTAGTTTGAAATTTGGTTTGCAATTTAGTTTTTAATTGTTTTGTTATTTTATGTAACAACCAAAAAAGAAACAGCTAACCATTTCAATTAAAAAGTTAGAGTTGAAATAAATCAAGAAAAAAAAATTCGACTTACAAATCGACACAAATAAACACACTAAACAGTAAAAACTTGTTCTTAGTTCCAAAGCTCAAAATGCTACCTGAAACACCTATTTTATTTATTTTTGATTGTCCGAGGTACAGGCCCATTTTTATCAAATTATCAACATCCGCCAAAATCTTCGTGAACAGCCGCATCACACTGAAACTTGAATTTTTTATTTTACGAAAATTCTCGGAATTGGAATATTTTCAATCTGATGATCGACAAACTTTGTCTGTTAAATTAGGCACTAAAAACTCATGAAAACCCATATGCATTCTACTTCTATAATAAGTAAATTTTATCACAAAATCGAGAAAAAAAGGGAGACTACAAAAATATTGGGCCGTTTAGCGTGATCTCCACCTTCAACATGTCGAAATAACGAGGCTATCTATATAGACCAAATAGCTCAGTATTTTTTTAGGTCACCTTTTTTTTCTATTTTGTGATCAAATTATCATACAACTCAAAGGGAAAGCAAATACGTATTTGTTAGTTTTTAGTACCTCATTAAATTAATTAATTAATTTAATGATAAAACGTTTCGTTTCTACGAATTTCCATAGATAAAAGATTTCAGGTTAATGATAAGGTGGCTTCACAAAGTTTTAGGCAGATGCTAAAACTTTGATATAAAGGGGTCTGTACCACGGACTTTGATGTTTGAAGATGATGAATACACATTTGTTTTCAGGAAGGAAATTGAATGCCCTTATTGCGTGGTAGTCCTGCTATAGCACGCACTAACTGACAGCCTAGTAAGCACAATCTAAATAATTAAAAGGGAAGACCTTTACACGATAAGCAGAGTGATAGGAGACGGACTAACGAGGAACTATTTACGGGAATAAGAGATAATTCAGGATACGGAGGGAAGTGAACTAGGATTGGCGATTAACTTTAAACATAGTATTAAAAAATTGCCTATATTAAAACAATGAATGCCATAATAGTAGTTGCCATAATAGAGACCACGTGATAGACTAAAGAAATGTTTTCTGGACTCTGAACTCAAAGGCTGAGGCTAGATTCTGGCTGTTGAAAGAAAATTTAAATTATTATATCGGTGCAGATCTTACCCGGACCGGTTTGGGGTCAATTCGGGCTGTTGAAGATTCTTTATGAATAATGATATTTTAAATACTTTGCTATTTATTATTATATTATTACTCAGTCTGGGGCTCAACCAACTTGTTCCCCAAAATGTGTATGACAAATCATAATTAGGAGATCCCCAGCCTTTCATTTAAGTCGTTTCTAATACAAGAAAGACAGTGAGAGATAATTTAATATTATTAAAGTGGAAATAGAGTCAACTCCATTTTCTATTGTAATTTAAGGGATTGTTATCTCGTAACTTTTTGATCCATAAATATTTTGTTCAAGGTATTTTCCGTAGCAACAGTATTTGTTTCGGTTTATATTTTGCTAATTGGCAAACGTTTATCGAATTTTTATTTGGGGAATACAAGGTTTTGCACTCAGTATTTTCTTCATTTCTTCATAATGTGCTTATTCGCCAAATTCCCTGGAACCTATTAAGAGGAAAAATAGTTCTCACGCTTGGCGTTGCCTAAAGTAGATTGCGCCACTGTACAGAAGTGTGGAAGTCGGTTCCCCAGGCGATTGTCAAGGGCGATCTGCTATCTCACATTATGAACGAGATAATGACTCGTTAGTGACTGAATGGTTCCCTAACGTGCCATGAAAAGTAGCGGATTACTTAACAATAACAGAGACCTTCGGTTAAAATCGGTGCCTACCTGACCAGCTGTCTTGAGATATATCGGTGCAGAGGAGATTCACATCTTTCTAATTGCGGAAAAGCTTGGCTTCTGCAATATCCTCACTTTTACTTCTCATTCTAGGTTACGGTACCTTCAGCCATGATGATTTTCGTTTAGAAATATCCTCTAGTTTCATTTAAATGTTATAAAAAATTACAAAAATCTAAAGCTTAGATTTGAGCAAATTATAACTAAAAAAAAAGTAATCATGGAGCTTGCTTATTTATTTACACGTAAAAAATACCTCAAGTTAACATTAGTCTAGAGTAAGGAAAATCGGTTTCATCTAAATTGACAGCTATTTTTTCTAGTTATCTATTTTTTATTTCTATTCACAACTATTGTTTCTTCGATTTTTAAAAATATTATTTTATCCAGGAAACATATACAGTAACTGTACCTATCTCATTTAGTTAGATGGGACTTTGGGTAAAATAGAACGAGCCTTTTCAAACTATAGACATTTCAAAAACGTCTATACTTACTTGGTTATTCATATAGCAATCGCTGACTTTCACCCAAATTTATGTAATACATAGAAATTGATACAGCATCATTTTTCAACTTATACCAAACTTTCTACTAAATTTGAGCCAAATCAAACAAACCATTTCTGAAATATAAACATTTATAAGCAAATACATTTAAGCGTACTTAACAAAAATATTAGATGGAATTTGGCGAAATTAGTCATGGCAACATCCAGCTCAATTTTTGATAATTTCATGAAATCGTATAAACGGTAGTAGGTAATAAGCCCCTCATATTGATTCGTCTACACAAAGACAGACACCGAACCAAATTTGGTGCTTGATGTCTGAAACATTAAACTCGAGTAATAATCTACGATTCTGAGCTCAAATTGATTTTTAACCGCCCTCAAGAATACAAAGCTGTACTGAGCAAGCGTGTGCAATGTTATTTAAGATTTAATGTTGGCGGTTGAGCGTTGATGGTAGACACTTCATCTAGAACAACTCTTGATTAAAAATCAATATATATATATATATCCGTACATCTACTGAAATATAATTATGATACGAACACATTACAAAACATTTGATACGGACATACCAGCTCGCTGATTCAAGGCATGGACACAACCAACACGCCCATAACACCCATAGAAGGCTCGAAAGAAGCTAGATGTGTGGTCTTCTCCATTAACTATAAATATTAAATTCAAGAGAGGAAGGGATTCAGCTGGGGATACTCCTATCCTTGCTAATGACTTATTACATTCTACACCTCGACAGCACAGTCGCAGGTATCTCTGACAGGCGTGAGTTGAAAATAAAGTTAAAAACGAAATTTTTAATTAGATTTACTGTAAAAACTTTTCTACGATGTTAATTTAGAAGATATTTTTGATCGATATTCATTGTTACTTAAACAATTTTAAACATAGTTGTTAGAACAGAAAAATAATTGAATAAAAATTAAAAATGAATTTTCATTGAATTATAAAAATATCTTGGTTAGCTACGTGATACAATCCAACAAAAATGTTTTTAAGGACTACTGTATTACTTTTATTGAATGTCTGCGATCGGATTTCAGCACTTCAGCGTTGACTTTAAAGGAATAGTTTTACAGTTTTAATATTCGACTTTCCAATAAAATTCCTTTCCTTGTAATCTGCATGGAATCCGATATAAAATATGCGTATATAGTAGTGTTTCGAAAGAAGTGAGAGTAATGGCTAGGAGAAATAGCTTTAAATAAGATATCATAAGGACAAAGCACTGATGAAACGATCCTATCTCGCTGGCATCGCCATAGAGAGAGTAAATGACGTTCATTAGGATCTAGAGAGCGTATTTGAAGATTATCTACTGACAATCCTTTTACTGTATCAGTACACTGTCTTCCTGCGGTTGCGACATTAATAAATATTGATAATATTGTTTGTCTACCGGTGCTCCGTGCTTTCCGACCTTATTCGATGCTCCAAAAACCGATAAAAGGTAATTGAAATGCAGTTTCAGTTCTATTTGATTAGTGAAATAATTTTACTTCCTTCAATTTATCAGTTACATAAGGAATTGTAATCAGTGGTACCTAATCCCCCAAGGTTTATGGCGTACGCCCTCCTCTTGAGAACATTTATTAACTCTCCTCATCTTAAAAACAGTATAAGCGAAATTTGCAAAATTAGAATAAATCTATATCAAATACAATTACGCTTGCTGTGTTTGTTCGATGCTTTCTCCTTGTTCTCTGCTTTGAAAGTTCCTTTACATTAAACCCCACCAAAGTATAGTTCCATCCAAAAATTTACTACCTTGAAGGTTGCCGGCGCGTACTTGCCAGAGTAGGAATGTCATAATCCATTTCCCGAGGCCGCGGAGAAATGAAACGTAACCGCCCAGGTGGGAATCGAACCCACAACGTTCAGAACCGGGAACTTTGGGGCCCACGTTTCAACATGATCGGCCGTCCCGTCCTCTGATCTTACAACGTGCGTGTAAAATATATAGAACAAATTTGAAAATTGAAGAATGAGATAGACCGAAGTGGCGGTCATATTATAACTTAGATAATATAAATATTTTGAGAAAATATTTTCCTGATAAATCTACTTCAATTTCATCAAAATGCAGAAGAAAAATCTGCGATTCTTCCTGTAATTTGAAAGCACGAGTAACTTATCATTACAATTATTATTTTAATAAAAAAAAATCAAGGAAGGAGTTCCAGCAGAGGATGCTTTTACGTAGGAATTAGTAACTTTGGTAAAAAGGAAGGCTTTTGAGAAGTGGCAGTGTCTCTGGCATGTTCTAAGAAATAATGACCCATCAGTGGTTGAGAAGCCTCCATTCTTAGAAATAAATAAATAAATAAATATAATAATAATAATAAATATTATTATTAATATAATTTTATTTTTCAGGTGAGGACCTTCGGATTGTTACTCGTATCGAGAAAAGAAACTGTGGAGTAATGTTGACAAAGACCAAGGAGCTAATCAGACCACAACTAAAGGTGGGTCTATCGATAATTTTAAATAAAGAATTTAAATTCAAAGCTTAAAATTATAAAACAATTTTATTTTTAGTAATTTTTAAAAATGTTAAAGTAATCAATTTGCATTGTATAGCGTTTCCTTAAATTTTCCGTCATCTTGATAGAGTTTTAGATATTGTTGTAAAATCCCACCTCTTTTAAAACTTTTGGTTACTTTGTTCAGGTAACAGTCCTCACTGAGACGCATGGCGAGGGATCTAGGTATGCCTTAGTTGGCCATTTTCCTGCTATATGGTCTACTTTGAAAACTATTTTTTTTTCTTCTAATTTTCAATTAAAGTTTGTAATAAAATATTATAACCACCATTTCATTTATCCATGTTTCATCTGGTACATATTTTTTAAGATGAAGTTTCACAGATAAAAAACATACTTTGTTTCTTTGGTTAAATTGTTATTCTTCCCAAATATTGCATTCTATGAATTGAAGGACAATAAATAGTACTTTTATATTTAATTATATTGGCGATAATTAAAATTATTTCTCTCACGTTAAGACGTGTGTGTTTAAATAAAGATTTAACAAACTTGTCTTCTAGTGCTTCGTGTACATGAATGATTATGACTATCTTGTACAAATGATGAATAAAGTATTTAAATTTAATAAGATCACCAATTTGGATTCCGCACATCCCACTCCACTATTCAGTGGTAGATGTTGTCTCCTCTGCATTGGTGCTCGGAATGTACTGCTCGGGAGTCTTTCTCGACGTTGAACAGGCGTTTGATAGAGTCCTATCTGTTAATGACGATCCATCAATTGCTCCAATCACACATCACAAGCCTTGAAAAATGGTGTCAGAACAGGAGGATTAAAATAAATTCCAATAAATCCCATCAAATATCCTTCACTCTTCGCCGTAAACCTATGACTTCCTGTCCTAAAGTATTCTTCAACAATAGCCCTCTTATCCCTGTCGAACAAATCCGATACTTACCTTGACAAACGACTCACTTGGAACCCCCACACCAGACTGAAACGACTAGAAACCGCCCTACGTTTTCGACTACTGCAGCACTTACTAGACAAACGCTCTAAGCTTACAATCAATAAAAAACGACTCATACATATGACAATAATAAGACCTATTTGGACTTACGGAATTGAGCTTTAGGGCTCCACTAAACCATCGAATTCCTCTCGTATCCAATCCTTACAATCCAAAATCCTTCGTAAAATCCTCAACGCTCCTTACTTTGTCACAAATAAAATAATCCTTAAAGACCTTAATGTTCCATATGTTTCCGATTTGGCCCAATCCAGATACCTATCCTTCCATAACAAACTGCAGAACCATCCGAATCCTCTCGTTTCAAACCTTGCTTCCTCCTCGATCCCTGATAATCCTCCGAGGCGTCTGAAAAGAAGATGGCCTCGGGACCTTCTAATATAGAACTTTAATTTGAGTTCTACCAATGGGTAGTTTCTCTTCATGTTGTACATGTCATGTTAACAATGTCACATTTACTGATTGTATTTTCCATGTAATACAGTTGTAAATTTCAATAAAAAAAAATTTAATAGTTGAAGAAAAGGAACATACCATTACTTTGCTACTCGTTTTCGAGAAAGTTAATGTTATTTTATTTATTATAACATGCATCCTAAATACCTTTTTTGTATTTTTGAGTTTTCTTTAACTTTAAAAGTATAATTTTTTTGTAATTCCTCTGTCTAATGCCAGGACAAGGTTACTACTGCGTCTATTTGCTAAATTTGAACATTCAATATTTCAGATAAAATTATCTTCTTTTTTTTTTCGATTTTGATCTGACCATAATCTAGAACCTTTGCCCTTAATTTCGATTAAGTATTGACCTCATATCTGAACGGACAGGTGCAAAATTCACCATCGTTATCCTAGGTTGCGAATTTTCAAGATGGTAATCATAGAGGCTGATGATTGGCCATGGTTCTATGATCGGATTAGAAAGATAAATTTTAGCGTGAGAGGTGAAAAGGGAATTAACAATCGATGCCCATCCTGAGAGAAGGCCGGACCCTGGCAGTAGCCTAAGAGGAGAGCTGGTATCACGACTTGTCTGCACTTTAGGATTTTTGATTCACGAGGGTCTAACAAGCGCCCATTTTCACATTCGTTCGCCACCCTAGCCTGCAATTACACGCCCTGATATTTCATTTGGACTGCCAGCAGAATGGTGTCTGTTCCCTTCGGCCTTCCAACTCATCAGCTATATATTATGTAATGCTCAATGTCGAAAATTTTTTTTTTTGGAGTTCGTGGTTTGTGTATGAGTTATAATCTCGAATACCTTAGAATTTATAGTAGTTTTAATAGTTGGTTTGTTTGTATGTAAAAGATTTATTTTGTAGGATGTTATCAGTTTGAATTCTGCTGAAATTTATAGCCCATATTCACTCACACACACCTATATTTATAAAATCATTTAAAATCATTACTCGAGGTTGGTGCCGTAAGAGAGTCTTTGCTAGCTCTCTGTTTTTTTTTTCTAGATGTGTGGCCTCAATTACACTAATATTCTGAATACCTAACGTGTAGGTTCTCAATGTAGTTACGTGCCGTATCAGTACCATTGTTTGGACGGCTTTGTGAAGAGCAGGTATGCTGTTAATGGAGATGTCAATGACTTCCCCAGTTAACAGGTCGTATTTACATTTGAAGAGGTCCAGAAATAAATGACTAATTTTCTTTGAAAAATAAAGATTTTCTTTATTGGACTGAATCCTCAGATCATCTAAGATTCTAGCATTGCTTAAAAATAGTATTTACGATGGTCTTTGGTTATAATTCACCAAGATAAGTAGTTATAAGATAGAAAAGTGCTTTATTTGATACAACATTAAATTGGAATATTCCTTATTAATATTTATCATTATTTTTGACTTTCGATTTGTTTATTTTCTAAATAATAATTTTCTAAAATCTAATCTAAAGAATCTAAATAAAAATTCTTTACATATCTTACTTTTCTTTGTATAATTAAGTGATATATATATATATATATATATATATATATATTTTTTTTTTTTTTTTTTTCTGTTTGCTCTACAGACCTTGTAGATCTCTGACCGCCTGAACTATCCTTCTCCACCTCTGTTTATCTTGGACTACTGCTTATCTATTCTGCGGGTTTTTAGCTTCCCAAATGGTCTCTTGCCTACTGGCCAGGCATTAATTGTTGTGTAAAGGCTACCTGATGGATTGCTTCGAGCTACATGCCCCGTCCATATTAACCTCATATCATGAGATTAATGAATGAAATGACCAGCTTTTTTAGCAGTTCTTTATTGTTCCTTCTTCTCCATGTGTTAAGGTTCTGAACCCAGATAGGTCCTGTTATCGCACGGGAACTTTTCTTTAGAATTTCTCAATTCTAGCTTCCAGTGTGCCAGTTTCATCAGAACTGGCTTTGTCACGGCGTTGTACATCCTTAGGTTTAGATTTCTGGAAAATTTTCTGGATTTTAGTACCCTTGAAAGGGAGAAGATAGCTCTGTTCGCACTTGTCGCGCTCTATCTCTGTTAGTTGACCATTATTGAGGTCATTGTGGAGCCGAGGTATTTGAATATGTTCGCTTTCAAGAATAACTTTATTTTGATACTAAATCGGATATATCGGTATTTTTTCATGATAAGGATATATCCGATTTAGCAGAATATTTGTCATTAAGTTATAGCTAACCGGAAGAAGTGCTATGCTTCTGTAATTACCACATTCGTACATGGAGCCCTTCTTGAGTATAGGACAAGTTAGCCCTTTGCAGGCTTCTGGTTTCCTCAAATATTTTCTAGAGTAGATATAACAGCTTTGCTCTAAGGTGTTCTCCCCCTTCCTTGAACAATTCTGATGGTAGGTTGTCTACCCCTGTAGCCTTTCTTCTTTTAAGCCTGCCGATAGCTATTTCCACATCCAGAATATCTGGTTTTTCAACTTCAAGTGGGTCGATGTCCTCAGTATGGGATTGTCTTCTTCGTTTGTGAGATGCCCTTGATTGAGAAGCTGATGGCAGTGTTCCTTGCAGATGCTTAGGATCTTTCCTTTTGATACCATCAATTTGCCATCTTTACGTCGCATTGCTCTTGCATTAAAGCCTACCCTTTCTTTCCTGATATCTGGGAAGAATTCGTATATATTTCGAGCCTGTCAGTTTTCCTCAATAGTTTGTAATTTATCTTTGAGGAGTTCTCTTTTTTCTGTTCCCATTATTTTGTTTGTCTTTTTCCTATTGGCTGTATATTTGTCCAGCATAGCTTGATTAGATTTTGCTAAGTAGAGGAATTTTCTTATTTCAACCATCGCCTATTCGCATGCTTCTGTGAACCATTTCTTATAAATATATATAAAGTAATATACTTTATTTTATAAATTGTGGCTGTCGATATGAAACAACTAGAGGGAACAAAGTATGTATTAGGCGGTGACACTGTTAGAATGGGCTGGAATATCCATATACAGCTTCTATTGTATTTCTTTTCTATTGTTTTTTTTTTTTTTTTTTTTTTTTTGGAGCCATGAATAATACAAAAGGCCTTCGCTACTCTGACCTAAAACTGGCATTAGCTTCCAGACCGTTCATTCGGTCAAGAACCTCCTTTTGGCTTCTTTTAGATTATTGTAGATACACACCCCACACACACTTATGAAATTTCAATATGGCACAGTTTAGACATCAGTTAGGAGACACGGGATCGTAAAGAATTGCAAAATTAAATTTGTGACCAGACCCAAGATTTTTGGCCCATCAAAGAAATGGAATTTGTAAAGAAGAAAATCTAAGGACGAGGTGCTCGCAATGAACTCTGATCAAGGATTCACGGAGTACATATTATTGTATTAGACCAAACAATACCGACCCTATGGTTATTATAACCAAAGTATGACGGGCACAACATTTCTCAACATCATTTTGTTGAATCTATAATGAATACAAAAAAAAAAAAAAAAATGAACTCAACACTTTCTATTTGTTGTAGTGATACAGATATTTAATAGTCATATGATGATCATAAAACTGGCGTTCAAGGAATTCCAGAATGCCTATGTAAATAAAACTGAGATTATGTGCTGAATAAGGAATATTATATTTATAGTTGTAGCATCATAAATCACTTCAAGATTCTTTAAACACTTCTGGCTGTCCAGTAATACAAATGGCAATTATCTCTTTTTATTTATATAATTTTAAAACAATTTTATTCAATAATAAAATATATTTTACTGTCAATACATTTTAAAGGCCTTATAAAATACCACTCTCTCGTTATCCAATGTTCATAAATAATAACTTGTCTTCTTTCAACCACATTTTCAATGAGAGCAATTCTGCTCATCGTCGAAAGCTTATAAAAAAAAGTATTTGAAACATTTCTAATTTATTGAT